TAATAGTCTTCAGGGGGGAGGGCGACCGAAATTCCTTCATTTTATTGGCGGCGAACGAGTTTATCAGGAATGTGTTCATTAATTAACTCTTTTCGCTGTTTTTATCGCTGCTTTTATCATCTCGAATATCATTCGCATTGAAGCAAAAAAAAGAAGGGGCTGTAAAAGCGAAGATTTACAAATGACTCGGCAACATTCTAAATGATAAAATGTACATAAATATCTCTCATTCATAACTGTGGATGTCGATTTTCGCACCTTTGTTTCAAAATTCCAGAGCTCTCTCGAATTAAAGTGCTCAAGCATTCAGACAAAAGAAAATCGAGAGCAAATAAAGCGTGGAGCGTTCGATTTGTGGCTGCAGTAACCTTTTTCCCAAGCCTCCTTGGAATCCAATCGCCAACACACATATATATATATATATGAATGTTATTTTAATTAGGCTCATAAATTAAAATACCATTAATACGTGAAGCCTCCACGTGTAATTCTTTATTGTTGCTGCTTTTTTTGTTTTTGTTTATGTGTTTGTTTTAGAGCTGTGGAGTCCGAATGTGGTTAATTTAAAATTAATCGTTTCTGTTTTGGTTTTCTTCTATCTGTGTGCAATAAATCCTCCCGTCTCTGGGATGTATTTTATTCGGCGTGTATCTGGCTGAAAACACGGCCGGTCCGATTTCGAACACGGTTCAGCTTCAGTCTGAAAAAAAAAACAAAAGAACGAAAAAGAAACAAAAGATAGTACTTGAGAAAGTTTAACATTGAATGGTTACTACTACCAAGATACGTGGACCCGATCGCTTGTAGCACGTAATTAATTGTAGTATCTTCCATTTCATTTCATACATTACTTCTTGTACTTCGCTGCCCAAATGAGTATAAGAATGACTCTCTGTGTGGCATTATGGAGAATGCTTGGGAAACAATGGAACGAACGCCAACTCAGATTGAACACCTCTATTTTTTTTTTTTTTTGTAACAACATAACACACTTCTATACTCATTTTGTTGTAACAACTTCAAATTATTTATGACCTGCATATTTGTAGGTTGATATTTATCACGTAATTACAGACGTAACTGTTCATTAACTGTAATTACCCATCGTTTATGGCCTACAGGAAAAACAATGGACTTGAAATTAACACCTTTGTTTCATTTAACGCAACTGTTAAAGATTACTATCAAAATTACTAACAAATTTTTCGAACTAATTATGATCTGTAAATAATCTCACAAATATGAGTTTTAGTTGGAATTATTTTAGTTACAATTACATATTTAATAATATTCATGTATTCTACTATGTTTGTTGTTACCATGACAACTGTGACGTTTTGCGATTTATCCATCAAAACTGACAACTGACGCACATCTGTCATTTATGACAACTGTGACAACATACCATGACAACTGTGACGTTTTGTGATTTAACCATCAGAACTGACAACTGACACACATCTGTCATCTTTGAAAAAAAATACAAAATAGAGTGATTTCTTTGTTTGAAATATGTTTGTTGTTACCATGACAACTGTTACGTTTTGCGATATAAACATCAAAACTGACAACTGACACACATCTGTCATTTGGAAATCCGATGAGGATGATATACAAATTGTAATTCGTAATTAGTATTTTTTCTCAAATAATATAAATTAGTTTTAGTTTGTATTTCTTAAGCAACGTTTAAACTTTTATTTTACATTTATTTAATGGCAAATTTCAGAATGTAATCACTTTGAAAAAAATACAAAATAGAGTGATTTCTTTGTTTGAAATACGTTTGTTGTTACTATGACAACTGTTACGTATTGTGATTTAATTATCAAAACTGACAGCTGACACTGACATCTGTCATTTAGAAATCAGATGAGGATGATATATAAATTGGAATTAGTATTTTTTTTCTCAAGTAATTTAAATTAGTCTTAGTTTGTATTTCTTAAACAACGCTTAAACTTTTATTTTACATTTATGTAATGGCAAATTTCAGAATGTAATTACTTTGAAACAAATACAAAATTGAGTGATTGCTTTGTTTCAAATACGTTTGTTGTTACCATGACAACTGTTACGTTTTGTGATGTAATCATCAAAACTGACAACTGACACACATTTGTCATTTAGAAATCAGATGAGGTTGATATACAAATTGTAACTCTGCATTAGCTTTTTTCTCAAGTAATATAAATTAGTCTTAGTTTGTATTTCTTAAACAACGCTTAAATTTTTTATTTTACATTTATCTAAAGGCAAATTACAGAATGTAATTACTTCGAAAAAATACTAAATAATTTCTTGGTTTGAAATATGTTTGTTGTTACCATGACAACTGTTAAGTTTTGCGATTTAATCATCAAAAACTGACAGCTGACACACATCTGTCATTTAGAAATTAGATGAGGATGACATACAAATTGTAACTCTGAATTAGTATTTTTTCTCAAGTAATTTAAATTAGTCTTAGTTTGTATTTCTTAAGCAACGTTTAAACTTTTTGTTTTACATTTATCTAATGGCAAATTTCAGAATGTAATTACTTTGAAAAAAAATACAAAATAGAGTGATTTCTTTGTTTGAAATATGTTTGTTGTTACCATGACAACTGTTACGTTTTGTGATTTAACAGTCAAAACTAACAACTGACACACATCTGTCATTTAGAAATCAGATAAGGATGATATACAAATTGTAACTCTGAATTATTATATTTTCTCAAGTAATTTAAATTAGTCTTAGTATATATTTCTTAATCAACGCTTAAATTTTTTATTTTACATTTATCTAATGGCAAATTTCAGAATGTAATTACTTTGAGAAAAAAATACAGTGTTTTCTTTGTTTTAAATATGTTTGTTGTTACCATGACAACTGTTACGTTTTGCGATTTAACCATGAAAACTGACAACTGACACCCATCTGTCATTTAGAAATTAGACAAGGATGATATACAAATTGTAACTCTGAATTAGTATTTTTTCTCAAGTAATTTAAATTAGTTTTAGTTTGTCTTTCTTAAGCAACGTTTAAACTTTTTATTTTACATTTCTCTAATGGCAAATTTCAGAATGTAATTACTTTGAAAAATAGAGTGATTTCTTTGTTTGAAATATGTTTGTTGTTACCATGACAACTGTTACGTTATGCGATTTAACCATCAAAACTGACAACTGACACACATCTGTCATTTAGAAATCAGATGAGGATGATATACAAATTGTAACTCTGAATTAGTATTTTTTCTCAAGTAATTTAAATTAGTTTTAATTTGTATTTCTTAAGCAACGCTTAAATTTTTTATTTTACATTTATCCAATGGCAAATTTCAGAATGTAATTACTTTGAAAAATAGAATGATTTCTTTGTTTGAAATATGTTTATTGTTACCATGACAACTGTTACGTTTTGCGATTTAAACAACAAAACTGACAGCTGACACACATCTGTCATTTAGAAATCAGATGATGATGATATACAAATTGTAACTCTGCATTAGCTTTTTTCTCAAGTAATATAAATTAGTTTTAGTTTGTATTTCTTGAGAAACGCTTAAACTTTTTGTTTTACATTTATCTAATGGAAAATTTAAGAATGTAATCACTTTGAAAAAAAAATACAAAATAGAGTGATTTCTTTGTTTGAAATATGTTTGTTGTTACTATGACAACTGTTACGTTTTGTGATTTGATCATCAAAACTGACATCTGACACCCATCTGTCGCGTGTAAATGAGATAATTCATATACAAAAAAAAAAACAAATTTTAATGTGCGTGTGCAGAAAATAAATTTAAATTTGCACACCGACGAAGAACGTGAATCTATTTCGGAGACCACACTTGTCCGCAATATGAAATGTCTGCATCGGCATAACTGTGCACATACATACACACACACACACACAGAGAGCTGGCCGTAATGAAGGTCATCATCATCATCATCACAATCATCGCCGTCTCCGTTTCATATCCATTTCCATTACTTCTTCTGTTTTTGCTTAAATTTTAAGAAAAGAAAAAAAGAGTTTTCATTGTCTTTGGTGGCGGAAATCGTATAACATTCGCGTAATTCACTTCACAAACAAACAAACAATTAAATTCTTATTTCACGGAAATCAACGGTAATTCAAGTAATCTCGTGGAAGTGAAATGAAAAAGAGGATTGTTTGAAAGTTGAAATAAGTGTACAATATTCAACTTAATGCTGCTTTCAGACGAAAGAATGGTTCAGTTTCTATTTTAGGTTTTATGAAGTTTGCGAATATATAAAAATTGACGTCCGAGATAAACTTGACGTTCGTTGTACATCTTTCTCTCGTGCATTGAGAGAGAAAGAGAAAGAGAGAGAGATTGTCGTTTGTTTCGGACAGGTGTCCATAAAAAGGGAATATAGTTCTCCACGCAATTGCGAAGTGATTTAAGCTGATGGGGCTGATGCGCGGATACGATATGTTTGTATGCATCTCGCAGCTGATGTTTATGATCTCGATGGTTGTTTGGATGATGATGCTGCTGCTGCTGCTGCACTTATGATCTTTCAAATAGTGAGTAAACGTCAAAACTGATGGATTTTAGTGTGGCTTTTGTTTTTCTTCATTTCTGTCTTTTGTTTTTTTTTTTGGATCGTGTGGGCTTTGGTCGTGGCTTGCTGCCGCAATTCTCTAGCAAAGAGAGTTCGTCGAAGACGAAACCAAACACCTACCACCTACCACTACTTCTTCTTCGCCTTTACGGGAGTACAGCGTGGTGGACGAGGAGGAGGAGGAGGATGAAGATCTTTCTCTCTCTCTCTCTCTGTACTATGTACATGTACACACATATACACAGACAGACAGCACTCTCGTGTGCTCGTTATATACCGTAATGTAAGCGCTTACATTAACTTAGTCTGGTTGGTCGATGAGCGAAGAAGAGGAGCCGAAGAGATCCTTCCTCTCTCTGTGGTTGCATGGGAAGTAGAGGAGACGACGACGAGGTGACATCACGCGCGCACACTCTTCTCATTGTCTCCCATTCGCATTCACTATTTTGGCTCACTATCTGTTCATTATTTTAATTTATTTTTTATTTTTTTTGGAACCGCGCAACATGTAGGTGAAGTGAATTGGAAATTGGATTTTTTTTTAAAATATATATATATATCGACGTGACACACACAACAATACGACTCTTTCTGCAAGTGACGATCATCAAAAACACAGAAAAACGGTAACATTTTCTCTATCCTCTCTATTATTGCTTCGACAATTCAATTTTAAATATTTTACACATTTTAAAACAACCATCCTCATCAATATCCTATTGTAAAAACCATGGCAACAATAATATAAGTATTACATTACCATAACAACCAGATAATAACATGTCTAATTACAAAATTATCCATTGATAACCAAATTACCATGACAACCAAATAATAACGTAGATAATTTATAATTCATGCAATTATTTAATAATCTACGAATACAATTTATTTTTTTTTTAATATATCATTAATAAATTTCAAATTATTAAACTATAAAAAGGAAGTATTTGCAAACACTTTTATATACATTTTCAATAACCCCTTCATTATTGTTTCATCAATTATAGTTTAAACATTAAAAACAACCATCCTCATAAATATCCTATTGTAGAAACCATGGCAACAATAATATAAGTATTACATTACCATAACAACCAGATAATAACATGTTTAATTACCAAATTATCCATTGATATGGCATTACCATGACAACCAAATAATAACGTAGATAATTTACAATTCATGCAATTATTTAATAATCTACTAATACAATTGATTTTTTTTTAAATATATCATTAATTAATTTCAAATTATTAAACTATAAAAAGAAGGATTTGAAAACTATTTTATGCTCGTTTTCATTATCGTTTCTTCAATTATATTTTAAACATTAAAAGCAACCACCCTCATCAATTTCCTATTGTAGAAACCATGGCAACAGTTTATAAATTGCAACATTATAAGTATTACATTTCCATAACAACCAAATAAATAACATGTCTAATTACCAAATCATCAATTGATATCCTATAAGTATAGCATTACCATGACAACCAAATAATAACGTAGATAATTTACGATTCATGCAATTATTTAATAATCTACGAATACAATTTAATTCTTTTATTTAAATTTCAAATAATTAAACTATAAAAAGAAGCATTTGCAAACATTTTTATACACATTTTCAATAACTCCTTCATTATTGTTTCATCAATTATAGTTTAAACATTAAAAACAACTATCCTCATCAATTTCCTATTGTAAAAACCATGGCAACAATTTATAAATTGCAACATTATAAGTATTACATTGCCATAACAACCAAATAATAACATGTTTAATTACCAAATTATCCATTGATAACCAAATTACCATGACAACCAAATAATAACGTAGATAATTTATAATTCATGCAATTATTTAAAAAATTACTAATACAATTTAATTTATTTTTTTAATAAATTTCAAATAATTAAACTATAAAAAGAAGCATTTGCAAACACTTTTATACACATTTTCAATAACCCCTTCATTATTGTTTCATCAATTATATTTTAAACATTAAAAATAACCACCATCATCAATATCCTATTGTAAAAACCATGGCAACAATTTATAAATTGCAATATTATAAGTATTACATTTTCATAACAACCAAATGAATAACATGTCTAATTACCAAATCATCAATTGATATCCTATAAATATGGCATTACCTTGACAACCAAATAATAACGTATATAATTTACAATTTATGCAATTATTTAATAATCTACGAATACAATTTTTTTTTTAATATATCATTAATAAATTTCAAATTATTCAACTATAAAAAGAAGCATTTGCAAACACTTTTATACACATTTTCAATAACCCCTTCATTATTGTTTCATCAAAAAAAAATTAAAAACAATCATCCTCATCAATATCCTATTGTAAATTGTTGCCATGGTTTTTATAATATAAGTATTACAATACCATAACAACCAAATAATAACATATCTAATTACCAAATCATCAATTAATATTCTATAAGTATGGCATTACCATGACTACCAAATAATAACGTATATAATTTACAATTACAATTCATACAATTATTTAATAATCAACGAATACAATTTTTTTTAAATATATCATTAATAAATTTCAAATTATTAAACTATAAAAGGAAGCATTTGCAAACACTTTTAAACTCAATAACCCCTTCATTATTGTTTCATCAATTATAATTTAAACATTAAAAGCAACCATGTTCATCAATTTCCTATTGTAGAAACCATGGCAACAATTTATAAATTGCAATATTATAAATATTACATTTCCATAACAACCAATTGATATTCTATAATACATTACAATGACAACCAAATAATAAATTAAATTACGATTCATGTAATCATTTAATAAACTGTGCATACATTTTTTTTTAAATATATAGAAATTGTTCAATCTTAATAAAATGTCTAGGAATACAAAATATTAGAAAAAAAAAGAAACACAGAATAATAAACATTACAAAGAAGCATTCTCGATTACTATTATTATACTCATTTTCAATCTGTGTAAGTAACATTGAAACGTTGCTATATAAATAAGTTATGTGTGATTGTGGTATTACCATAACAACCGAATAGTGTCATGGCAATTACATTTACTTGACAGCATCATCATAAAATAATTTCTAATTAATGATTTACACATTACAATAATTCAATAAAAAAAATACGGCTTAAATTTACAACATAATTAAAGATATTTTAAATTTAATTAATTATTTTCAAAATTATATTTTTTTTATATAATAATTCTTCTTTTTTTTTATATACAAACTAATAGCAAAGAGAATTTTACAACATAAATCCAGTCGTCTAATATATGTATATTACCATGGAAACCTTAATGATTATAATTGAAGCGGTTTCTGGAAACCATTTAAAAACAAATGAAAACGAATATCCTAATTGCTTATGTTTTTTAAATTGCTGACGTAATGCTAATTTCATTTTCACGTGACGAAATAAAACAAAAGAAATAAAGGAATGTTTCCATGGAAACTTTAAATATTAAACAGCGTAATTATACTGTGACATTAAACGAAATCTAGATATATTTATAAAACAAAAACAAAAGTAATAATTTAACAGCAACAACAAAGATTTATATCGTCGTAATTCGTATTTAGTTAAAGAATTATGTCAAATTTGTAATTAGTAAAAAAAAAATAAATAATTAATTACATAATAAATCAGATTTAATAATGCCATGACAACGACGAATAAAACAAATTTGTAAATCTTCATTTTTTTTATATATAGCAGATGTTTTTAATAATGCCATGACAACGACGAATAAAACAAATTTGTAAATCTTCATTTTTTTTATATATATAGCAGATGTTTTGATCCGTAATTCACTGTTGTTTTCGACGACACTTGTGAACATTTCACTTTGCGAACGTAATTACATTTGATCGGTGATTAACGCGCGAACAAGCACACAAAAATCTCGAATCAATCAATCAATTGCAACACGTTTTTTTTGTGTGTATACGTATCTTATTACTATCGATTAATTCTAACTGTTGATTGAATTGCATCAGAATTTCTTTACTGAAAATGGATTTTATGGCACGACCAGATTTGGGAGTGCAGCAAGCAGTAAACGTCGCGTTGCACAATAAACCCACCACAGCCTACGCGGATCGTAAATATTGATTAAATTCTCACAAAATACTCGAAGAAAATTTATCGCTTTTTTCTTTTGTAACAACATAAATTCAAATGTTATTTTGCAATTTCAATATGCGCACGTTCGCACTATTTCTATTTACTGTTAACTTTAATTACGGAACGAATCTTCGTCTATTTGCGCTGAATTTACATGTCTTTTACCGCTCGCAAATTCTAATATTGATATAACAGTTTACTCGATTCTCAAAAACGCATTCTTATCGTACGAATTATGCGGATTATTGACGAATGTTTGTGCAGGTTTGCGCTAATCCCGTTCGTTTTTTTTTTGCGGATTATCCACTTAATCCGCAAAAAAAAAAACGCCTTTCATCGAAATGTAAATATGAAAATGGTTTATAATCAATTTAGCTCAAAGTAGGTTAAAGTCGTTTACTTTGTCAAAGTTGCATTCTTCGACGTTGCATTTTTTTTATATAACTACACGAGCATGGTAATCTTGATCCTTTAAGTGCTAGATTTGAAATGCAAATAGCGTATCATTATGCAAGCATTGAAGTTAAATGGATTTGTAGAATGTATAAGGAATTTTCAACGAATTTCTCGAAAACTGTGAAACGTATTTAAATTATTGAATATGCATATTAAAACTAAAAGAATAATGAATATAATGAGTATATTTGAAGTATTGAGAACTCTATAGTTTTCTTGTAATGTAATAACAAAATTTATAAATTGAAATTTTTAATCTTTAGTTTTTTAACAAATTTCTGAAAAACCACGAAAGGCATTTAGGATTTTGAATATGCATACTAAAACTAAAAGAATAGGGAATAAAATGAGTGTATTTGAAGTATTGAGAACTATAGTTTTCTTGTAATGTAATAACAAAATTTATAAATTGAAATTTTTATTCTTGTTTAATTTTTAATCAATTTCTGAAAAACCACGAAAGTTACTTTAGATATTGAATATGCATATTAAAACTAAAAGAATAGGGAATAAAATGAGTACATTTGAAGTATTGAGAACTCTATAGTTTTGTTGTAATGTAATAACAAAATTTATAAATTGAAATTTTTATTCTTGTTTAATATGACCTTAGTTTTTAACCAATTTCTGAAAAATCACGAAAGTTACTTAGGATTTTGAATATGCATATTAAAAATAAAAGAATAAGGAATAAAATTAGTATATTTGAAGTATTGAGAACTCTATAGTTTTCTTGTAATGTAATAACAAAATTTATAAATTGAAATTTTTATTCTTGTTTAATACGACCTTAATTTTTAACCAATTTCTGAAAAACCACGAAAAGCACTTAAGATTTTGAATACGCATATTAAAACTAAAAGAATAATGAATAGAATGAGTGTATTTGTTGTATTAAGAACACTATAGTTTTCTAGCAAATTCGAAATTGAATCATCACATCACCAAATTAACGAAGTATAATGATATAAGGATTTGTTAAAACAAAAGAAGTAAAAAAAAACAGTATAATTTCTTGTATCTTAGCAACGATAAATTATAATTAAGTTGGGGTTGCGTGGCCATTCTCTCTCTATTCTTTTCTTGAAAAACCACGAAAAGCATTTAAGATTTTGAATATGCATATTAAAACTAAAAGAATAATGAATAGAATGAGTGTATTTGAAGTATTGAGAACTATACAGTTTTCTTTAAAATTTGAAATTGAATCATCACATTCCAAATTGATGAAGTATAATGATATAAGGGTTTGTTAAAACAAAAGAAGTAAAAAAAAACAGTATAATTTCTTGTATCTTAGCAACGATAAATTATAATTAAGTAGGGGTTGCGTGTCCATTCTCTCTCTATACTTTTCTTGAAAAACCACGAAAAGCACTAAAGATTTTGAATATGCATATTAAAACTAAAAGAATAACGAATAGAATGAGTGTATTTGTTGTATTGAAAACTCTACAGTTTTCTAGCAAATTAACAAAGTATAATGATATAAGGGTTTGTTAAGTAAAAAACAGTATAATTTTTCTTGTATCTTAGCAACGATAAATTATAATTAAGTTGGCGTCGCGTGGCCATTAAAATCTCGACAAAGCGAGATAATTAATAATAAAACAAAAAAAGAAAAAAACAGCTGAAATTAAGTGTGACCATAAATAATGCGTAAACTGGATCCACCCGTTGTCACCGAAGCAGAAACCACTCTCGTTATTTTTTTCCCCCTCCTTGGGTCGTAATTAGAATGCAGAGATGATGATGATGATTCATTGAGATCTAAGATCTCTGCGAGAAAAAACAAAGCTATCGTTTCCATGGGAATAATAGAGGTGTAATGATAATCGATCTTCGATATTCTGTTTTGTCGTTGTTATGGTTACTGTCACTAATCTGGAGGCCGTTTCCATAATTAAGTGCTTCTCTTCGCAAATTTTCTTTTTCTTTTCCCAAAGATCCTTAAATGGAAACCGCGCTGCTTCCCTATCCTCGTCCAATCTATCCCCATCTGCATATTCTTCGCGCAGCACATTTGCATTGCAAATTCCACGCCGGTTTACGAATTCCACGCGCGCTTCGAAAATTAATCGAAGGCGTCTTTATTTGGGTCAACGATTCTTCTCTTCTCTTCTCTTCTCTCCGTCCATAACAGGATGAATCCTTCCTTCCTTCCCATCGTTAAATCCGTTCGAGTAAATAAATTAAGTATTCCGCACGAACTAATCACTCAATCTTCGTCGATCCGTCGTCATTTATTTCGTTCTTCTCTCCGCTTGCTTGTTTCAGATATCGAGACTGTCAACTTCATGACGGGATGTCCGACGATAGTCTGTTATGTTGAACGTCCGTAATCTCTCAATAGCACTAACATTAACATTCCTCATCACGGTTTATCTCAAACAGATTCCGAACAACATCCACAGCAAAACCGCCTCCGGCACCCTCATCAAGCACATCGTCGCGTACTCCCTCAAGAAACGCATCGAAATCGAAGCGAACGAAGCGCTCGAATGTCCTACTCAACGGATTGCAGCAAATCCTTCCGACGATCGCAGACGAAAGCCATGGACGCAGCAACAGCAAACGCTACCAGACACCAACCTTCAAGTGTACTCGATACACGAAGATTACCGACTCGATCCTTACAACTACATCAGGATCTTAGCCACGACCAAAGGTTGACCGAAACGGTGAACATTTCACAGCGAACAAACAGCGTTAATTGTTAATTGATTTGCAGGTGACTTGAATGCTTCGTTGTACTGCAATTACTTGACCGAAGAGAGCGCGAGCGCGACCAAAGCGACGCGCATCGAAATCTGGGCGGAAAACTGGATCGACTTCAACAGAGACAACAACCACAATCCGAATCTCCTCTCCTGCCAGATACCTGAAGGTAAAGTCCAGCTGCACCTCAGCTCCAAACCGTGCGACGTTTCTAAAGGAACCTTCGTCTACGCCAAAGCGAGCTCGGATCGAAAATCGGCGAAACCGTCGAGGAAGAACAAGATCGCGGTTTGCGTTAAACCTCTTAACTTCCTGCAGGATATCTCGAAGAGGTTGATGGAATGGATTGAAATCAATAAGATCCTCGGAGCTACGCATTTCGTCTTCTACGTGAACAAGGTCCATCCGAACGTGCGGCGCACCCTGAAGCTCTACACGACGAGCGACAGAAAATTCAAGATCATCAACTACACTAACCTCGGCGGCTGGGAGATCTGGCAGAAGCGCAAGAACGAGATACTGGCGTACAATCATTGCTTCTACTCGAGTCTGGATCAAGTGGATTTCGTTTTGCCTGTAGACATAGACGAGATCGTTGTGCCGAGGGTCCACTACAGATGGCAGGAGCTGATCCAGACTCTTCCATCCGGTTACGCCTCGTATTCGGCGCGAAACGCCTTCTACTTTCTACCCAACATCCTCTCCAATCAGACGTTCTTTCGACAGACCTTCAATCGGAGCGATTTCAGCCCTTTGGGGGAATCGGGGAAGAGTTTCATCTCGACGAAGAACGCGCTCACCGTCTTCAACCATTACGCCCTGCACATCCTTCGACCCGGCATCAGTCGCACCCATTTCATACCAGAGTCTTTGGCCCAGATGAACCATTACCGGGCCAAATGCCCCGAAGATCTGATGCCCGACTGCCTCAAGTACACCTCTAGTCAATTTTTCGATGACATCATCCTCAAGTACAAAAACATCTTCGAGTTCAACTACAGCAGCATGAAGAGATACTTGTAACACTTAAATACAATTAAATAAACTATATATATATTAGTATAAATACTCACCACATTTACTTATTACACAATACCATAAATATGCTTTCCTGCGGATTTCAATTAATTATCGAAAGGAAAACGGTTTCTTCTGCGCCACGAATTGATTTAATATTTATATTTACACGAACATAATTGGCTAAATAAAAATTATTTGATTTCCTAATGACGATATTTATGGTATATAAACGTGAGATCCAGGTCGTCTGCTGTCGCTCACGGCCTCTATGATTCCGCTGATGTTGGCGACGCCGGTGACTGCAGCGAATCCGTCCGACGTGTCCGCCACCTTCACGCTATGTCCGATTCCTTTCAATCCATCCATCATCACCTCAAAAAAAGAATTAATAAGTACATTTTAACAAACAAACAAAAATTTTCACTTGATCAAATCCGCTCTCCAAAGTTATCTCCATGGGGAACAACTGGTGGTGCAATCGTTTGCTGTTCAAAGCCTCGCTCAAACTCTGTCCAAACCAAATGTGTTTTATTGCCACCTAAAAATTGAATCATATTAGATTATCTTATATTTCGAACATGTATGATTTGATACGTTACCAAAGCGGTGGAAGTCGTAATTTTCGTGCCTCCTGCTGCGCCGATCACCAAGCGAACGCTACCATCCTTGTTGGTTATAATACTGGGAGTCATTGAGGACAGCGGTCGTTTTCCGGGTTTGATGAAGTTCGCAGGAGACGGAGGAACGTCGAAGGCGTTCGTGTAGTTCGAGGAGAAATCGTCCATTTCATCGTTCAGGATGATGCCCGTGCTCTGCGATCGTCTCTTTGCACCAAAGCTAAATCATCATAAACTGATTTTTAGTACAACTGAGTGTTAGATTGATACAGTTCTTACATTAAATTGATAGTTCCTGTGACTGAAACTGCGTCTCCGTTCGGTGCCAACACTGAGATGTGAGCCGTACCATGATCCTCGACCATCGAAAAGTTTGCTCCGTAATATTCGGGATCTTGGAACGTTTGGTTATCGAACATCATCAGATTCTTGATGTCGTTGATGTACTCTGGCGAAGTCATGTTTGCTATCAACTGGAATCAAATTCAAATTTTCGTTTCTATCGATTCAAAATTTGCAAGTTTACATTCTCTATGCCTTCGACGTAAGACGGATCTCCCATCTGCGTTCTCTTGCCGTAACCGAACTTGAAGCTCTCGACGATCCTCTGCCAGTTCGTCACGTCGTCGATGTCATCCAAGTTCAAATTGTTCTTCAGCAAACCCATGATGAAACTCATGATAATCCCAGAACCAGGAAGCGGGAAAGTGTGCAGAGTCATACCGTCCGGAAGATCTTCAGTGACAGGGTCCAACCATTGAGGTCTACAAACGCCGTAAGTATTCAATGTCAGATAGATTTAAATCATTAATCACCTGTAGTTGTTCATGTCTTCGACAGTTATGATTCCTCCGAATCCCTTCACGTCCTCCACGAACTTCTCCGTCAAAGAACCGTCGTAGAGAGCGTCCGCTCCTTCCTCGGCAACGATCTCGAGAGTTTCAGCCAATTTCGTTCGTTTCAGCAAGTGCCCACGAGTCCAGGGCTCTCCCGTCGACGGATCCACGAAGACCTCCCTTAGACTCTCGATATTGACGAGACGTTTCCTGTGGTTCTTGAAGACGCCTTCCAGGTACGGCGTCACCAGATGACCGTTCCGACAGAGATCTATCGTCGGCTGGATGATGTCCTTCCACGGTAACTTCCCGTACTTCTTGTGCACCTCTTCGTAACCTCTCAGTTCTCCCGGCACGGCCACAGCCAATCCACCTAAAGAACGAAACATGTCAACAATTTATAAAGAACAAGAAAAAGAAAAAAAACACACCTTCTGAAGAGAGACTTGGATCGTTCTCGTACATGTTCTCGGTGGCGGCCAACGGCGCCATTTCTCTAGCATTCAGCGTTTCCACGGTGCCCGTAGATTTGGAGTAAATCGTGATCAAGAAACCACCGCCGAGACCGGTGCTCTGCGGCATCGCAACACCCTCGCAAAGCATCGCCGCAACAGCCGCATCAGCTGCTGAACCTCCCTTCAATATTATATCCCTAAGAAAAAGGCAGAAAAATTTAATTTAAATCAATCATTTCAATATGTATTAAACAATACATCATAGTATGTCATAATTACTTACATCTCCATGACAACCTTGAATCTTTCGTGTTGCTATGGTTATTATATGATATGGTTGCTATGGTTATTATATTATAACAACTACTTTATGTTTTCAGTTTAGGAATTGCGTAAAATTGCTCATCGTTAGCAATTCCCTCCTGACCAATTTCATAGAGAGAGAAACAACAAAATACATGCAATCTTCTGAAATTATAGTCGCATGTAGTACATAATGAATTTGCAAACTTTATCGTACGATTAGATTCGCAATCTGCCATTCTAAATGCATTAACTATTCCAAGAGAAAGAGTACTAATAATCAGTTTGTAACTAACATTAAGTTACTTGTTATTTAACTAATTGATATACGACCTAATAAACACACAAAAGTGTATGAATGTAATCTATGCGCAATTGAATTTAGTTGACCTCGGAAAGCACGCACTTTCCCGAAAATAACAGAAAAACCAATTAACTTTAATAGATTTTTGATGATCGAGTTAACTTGTTCAGTGTGGATGGAATTTTGGCAAAAACAGATTCTTCGTTGATTTCGTAATATGCAAATTCATTGATTACGCGACAGCTTCAATGCCGAACACCAACAACCTATAAACTATTGCTTTTCTACGCTATAAGTAGATTGAATATTCATGGGAAGGACACGCGCGCCTTTTCCATTTCTTCAAAGTCACATTTAAAATCGAACGTTCCGATTTCTGTAATCTATGATATTTTAAAAAATCAAAAACAATATAGAAGCAAAACAATTAAACAAAACCTACTTGCGTTTATATAATATTTCAGAATATAGACTTGTAAGTTATTCTATTGCGATTCAAGAAAAAAATCATTGAAATAGATGTTGGCCTTTGGAGATGGTTGAGACTTTCATTCTTACAGTCTGGAATTCTCATAATACTTTTAAGACTTAAGTTTCTTAAGGAAACAAAGTTTGTTTAAACAATTTGAATGTTACCTTCCTATCCCGGCGCATTCGTATCCATTGGTGACGATTCCTCCACGATGTTTTCCCGTCTCCAAGGTAACCTCCTCAGGGATGAACGTATCCACGGAAACGGCGGCGGAGGCGGCGTCATCCTTGTTCAAGAGGAGTCCCAAGCAGAGGCCGAGAACGGTAACGCCGATCACCACAATAACGAGGATAACAGTCACCTGTCTCTTGCTGCAAAAACAACAACAACAAGAACAACAACCAAAAAAAAAATAGTACAAACTGAGTAAATTCAGAAGAGATTCAGCAGTTTGCGCGTTTTCGAAACTGCCGCTTACTTAAACCTGCACAGCATGATCGGTGGCGACGGAATGGAGAAACCGAAAACGGAGTGCGCTGTGCCCGAGTGTTTTTCGTTTTGTTCGCCGTTTCGTTTTTGTCTATATTTCGTCCCGATTCAACAATGTGTTGGTCGTCAAGGTTTTTCACGAACGCTCGCCGTTTTTCCGATTCCGTTCGTTATTCAATTGAGAAATAAAAGATCCAAGTCGCGCACTCCCGATGGATAATAGTAAATATCGAATCTCAATTATTTTTTTTTTCTCCCAGATCGCTATGGTTTCTTTTATTTGCTTTGGAATACAACGCCGACTACGATAAGATGCACGAATATATATATATATATATATAAACATACAAAAAAATTTCAGACCCCGAAAATAGAAACTTATAAAACACCTTATCACCGTGATATTGTAATTACACGGATTACACTATATAATATAAAACGATTAGCGGGAATACTTGAATGAGCAGATAAGATGATTTATTCTCTCATTATTATATTTGTTTTTTTTTTTTTCGTGCAATATAATAATAATTGAACCGGTGAAAGTGTTTTTTTGTGCATGTATTTATGTTCTATTTTCGGTGTGCACGAGGTGCCCGCCCGGGGGATCCCGCAACAAATGAATGGACGTGTGGGACCTTCAATGAGTTAACGAAAAGTGTGCCATGCCGACGACGGGTCTGATATAATAAAAGCGTTCCGTTGCGACACCATCCCAATTGTATTATATGTATAAAATGTATGTGAAGCAGGTTTCTCCATTCTATGCTTTTGCTTTTACGAGACGTAGATTTCGGAGCCGGTCCTCCTGGAGTCGCACACCACCTCGATGGCGCCGCTCACGTTCGCTATCCCCGTCACAGCGGAAAAACCATTCGACAAATCTATCATCTCGACGCTGTGCCCGATACTCTTTAAACCTTCAACTATATCCTAAAAAAAAACCAACAACATTAATCAAATACAATTACGTGAACTGATTACCTTATTGTAGCCATTTTCGAAGCTGAGAAGCATGGGGAAGAGCTGATGGTGAAGCCTTTTACCGTTCAAAGCCTGGTCCAAACTTTGCCCGAACCAGAGATGCTTAATAGTCACCTAAATTACATCAACATTAATCAACGTTAATTAATTTGCTGGTAGCTACAGACTTGGGCAACTGAAGAGGTAATCTTGCTTCCGCCAGCAGCTCCAATCACCAGCCTGACGTTACCATCCTTATCGAGAATAATACTAGGACACATCGAAGACATCGGTCTCTTTCCTGGTTTGATGTAGTTGGCGGGACTTGGGGGAAGGTCGTAGGAATTCGAGTAACTCGAAGAGAAATCGTCCATCTCATCGTTGAGGATGATGCCCGTCGAAGGCGATCGTCTTTGCGCACCAAATCTGCAAAGCACATCAATCAATCAATGAAATACGAATGTTTTAAATCTAAAAAAGATTACACGTAGTTTATAGTGCTGGTAACGGAGACGGCATCACCATTGGGCGCAAGGACTGAAATGTGAGCGGTACCGTGATCCTCTTTGAGCGCGTAATCACCGCCGTAATACTGAGGATCGCTGAAAGTCTTATTATCGAAGATTTTGGCGCGCGTCTCCTCCACGTATTTATCCGAAGTCAAGGTTTTGATCAACTGCAATTAGTCGTTTAACAATTTGCGTAGAAACAATATTGATTCAACCTCTTGGATTCCTTCGATGAACTCTGAATCTCCCAGCTGCGTTCGCTTGCCGTAACCGAACTTCAAACTCTCCACGATCCTCTGCCAATTGGTCACGTCGTTCGCATCGTCGGTGTTCAAATAGTTCTTCACCAGATTCAGGATGAAGCTCATCACCAAACCGGAACCAGGAAGAGGCGCCGTGTAAAGCGTCTGGTTTCCAGGGAGGTCAGCAGTCACAGGTTCCGACCATCGAGCTCTTAAACATATCGATTTAAATATTTGTTGTGTATAATGATTACAGTCGTAATTACGATTATAATGGTTGTAGTTATTACCTGTAATTGTTCATATCTTCCACAGTTATAATCCCACCGAAATCCGCGATATCCTGGACGAATCTCTTAGTCAGCGAACCGTTGTACAAAGCGGACGCACCCTCTTTGGCGAAGATTTGCAACGTCTGCGCCAGCTTCGGTCTCTTGAGTAAATGGCCTTCGGTGAACGGTTCTCCGCAGAAGGGATCCACGAAGACCTCCCTGAAACCTTAAGTTCAATTTAAATGATAACAGATACATATACCATCGGTATACTTCAAGCTGGGATTCTCGGTTAACATATCCTTGCTCTTCATGAAGACTTCAGCCAAATGCTTGGTGACTTTAACACCTTTCTGGCAGAGTCTGATCGTCGGTTTGAAGAGATCGGCCCACGGAAGCTTTCCGTACTTCTTGTGGGCTTCCTCGAAACCGCGCAGTTCTCCTGGAACGGCGACAGCTAAACCGCCTGAAATTAAATTTTATAATTAACTATGTTTAATGAGGGTTTGTTTGGACCTTCTAAGCTTTTCCTGGGATCATTTGCGAACATGTTTTCGGTGGCGCCGGCGGGGGCGGTTTCTCTCGATATCAGACTCTCGACAACTCCGGACTCTTTGTGGTAGATGGTCATCAAGAAACCACCGCCGAGGCCGGTACTTTCGGGGTTGGAGACGCCCTCGCACAGGAGGGCCGCAATCGCAGCGTCCACAGCGGATCCTCCCTTCTCCAACATATCCCTAAAACTTCACTTATGATTCTGTCTATATGAAAACTGACTCACCTGCCGATGCCGGCGCATTCGTGTCCATTCGTCACGACACCACCTCTGGCAGCAGCAGGAAGTTCCTTCGCGATGCTCAACGAAGACCCGAAGACTCCGATTGCTAAAAGACCCAGCAGAAAAACCATTCCTTCTTCCCTGGCAAACAGTAAGAAACTGCGCTAAAAAATCACCGTTTATATTTCTCAAGATTAACATTTCTCCTCTATTAGGTTTTTTTTTCTTTTTCCAATTACCGTCGAAACAATAATTCTCATCATCGTAAAATCGTTTAATTACTTACCCACGATAAATTCGTGCCTTTTCAACTTACTCATGATTACTGTTGTTCGTTCTTTGCGAAAATTATCTTAGGAAACGTATAGGTCCATAAAAACTAATACTTAGTGATACATTGTAATCAAATTCAAAAAAAAATTTAGTAACATTTAGTAAGTTTAAATAAGGCGATTTTGGTAATTCTGTTACGCAATGACAAACACTTCAAAAACGTACTGAAAATCGATGTAAATTTCCGCTCGTTCCTTTGATGTCACCTGATGGGAAAACCTCTGCGAAATCTTGGACGACAATCGCAGCGTCTCATCGCCAATATCAAGCAACATTAGAGGAAAACATTGTAAATTACGTACATATATAACAAAAACAAAAATTAACAACTATTGACATTTACACGATTGTCCATATGAATTAGATTCAATCGAATTCGCGAAAACAATGATGAAATAGCGTTAGGCATAATAATTAAGTGAATCGTACTGGGGAAAACTCAGTTTAGTTTTCTCGTGATTTCCAGATCGCATATATTGGACATTCTCGGAACGCTCAAGATCTCCTCCTCGGTGGCTTCCCTCACGTGGAAAGCGTGCAACGAGTTCTTGCCGATCATCTTACCAGCGCATCTGAAATAAAAGTTGTTTCTACTAATCCGTTGAGGAAATGCAATTATGTTGTGGAAAGATAACGTTCGCGGGAACATAAGTGGTTAGCACTTAAGAATTTTATATAAATTATCACGGCATAGAAATAGAGTACACACATAATTGAGTGCAGGCGATGTACGAGGAATCTCAAAGTCCACGGATTAATCAGATGATAACCGTGACTTGGCGAAGGTTTCGACAGGAAGTCAGGGCGTATTACGAGCAAGTCTTTGGTTTTGCAGGAAAATTAATCAAAAATGTTATTTCACAAACAAGTTGTTCGTAATTAGCCCTTCGTACTGTTATGCATACCTAACAATCTGACCTACGCGTATCTCCGGGAACTGCATATTATCGATGTCGTAGTGCACGACCTTCATGACCGGTCCCTTTCTGTCTCTGAGAAAGATGATCTTCTGATATCGCAGCTCACCTGGCCGCATCGAAATCACCGGAGCTGAAAGCATGAAACCCAATAATCCCAATAGTTCCTGAACATCATCACGCTACAATACCGATGACTTCGTACAGGCAGTAGCTTCGAAGGATCTGGTTCCATTTCAGCACCTTCTCCACGTTCCCAGTGAGAAACCTGATGCTCTCCTCGAACCTGTTCTGCAAAACAAAACAAAAAAATCGTGACAATAGGTGTTGTGCACGGCCTTGATCGCTGATGATTTGCAATTATCGTTTCAGCGGCATCACGAGTGGCCATTGTATTTAGAGACGTTAAAATAGAACGTAATTAATTGTATACCTTTGGCGTCGAGAACGTGGCGTTCGCACGTTTGCTAATGCTCGCGTTCAAATCACCCGAATCGTTCTTGCGCTTCCTTGTATCTGCAAAAGCTTTCGGCTGATTGTCGCTAATTGAAGCCACGTCGAAGCTTCCCTCAAAAGCAGACTGAAAATAGTAATAAACACAGCTTAGTTAACGTTTGCAAAAGTGTTTGCTTGCATTTTGTTTTCACTTCTAAAGAATCCAAGTTGCTTATGCAATCCGCATCCGTCTTTCGTTTCGGGAAGAAGTTGCTTATCTGACCATCCACGTTCGTCTCATCCATATTATTTCTGAATTGTAATTTCGTACCGCTCTAAGAATCGAACAATAACATTATCTAGCTTTAATTTTAACCATAGTTTATCTACTTATGCAATTTTTAAATAAAATTTGATTCAAATCTATTTCTATTCTACTTGTAATTAATTTAAAAATATCGACACTCACGTTCATTGTCCTGTGCATGTGCAAACGCACAAAGATAAGCACTTCAATCGAGTCGAAAATAGATAAACACTTTAGATAACTTACTGAGTTGTTGATAAACAACTTTTGTTTTGTTTATACACAAACAACCTGGCAACCCGAAAATAAAAAAAAAATAAACAATAATCTACATTGTTGCAATATTTAGAAATAGAAAATCGATTTAAGAAGAAGAAATAAATTGAAATAGTTTGTTTTATTGTATATAAATAAAATAATTATAAAAACTTAATTAATTAAGATTCTGCTTCAGACTCTTCATTCATCATTTCCTGAAACAATAACAATAACATTAGCAAATTGTTGTTTTTTTTTATTATAGTTTTATTTTTTTCTACCTGCAGAAGTTGCACCAAATGTCTGCTCTCCTCGAGCATCTCCATGCAAGTCTTGTTTTCCTCTCTCAAGCGCTCGACTTCCTCCTTCAGACTCTCGATCTCCCTGCAGTTCTCGGTCAGCGTGACGCTCCGCTTCTCGGCCAAAAGTTTCCAATACTTTTCACTGGTAACATCGCAGGTCAAGTCTTCTGCAGTTATCGAATGGTCTTTAGCGTGCGCGACTCTTAGTTTAGACTCAGCGTTCGTCAATCTAAAAATAACGAAAATGTTGAGTTAAGTAAATAAATTTAGAAATAGAAAAGAGGTGACTTACAGTAGTTTCGTTTCCTTCTCGATTTTCGGTCTTCCGACCAGGTTTTCCTTGTCCTTGCCATCGTGCTGCAGATCGTGAAACTTCTTCCGTCCGTTTCTGACGCTCTCCTGAAACGAATTTCCGTTAAAGAGAAAAACTGGTTGGATCTCCGTTTCACTCACTTGCTTCTCCTGCGTGTCGATTTGGATGTACACCTTTGTTTCCATGCTGTTCATCATTGTTGACTGCTAAAGTTGACTTCTTCGTTGCTTCTGGTCGTCTGATAACAGTTGCAGCGGTGTCTCGATTATTATAGTCTGCAGACGCACCCGAAACCGACCAATGGGAACGCAGGGGGTGGTGCTTATCTGCTCATTAATATGCACCCCCCACCGGAAGTAAACACCCTTTTTAAAACGTAATTAAAGCGCACTCTATTAAACAAAAATATAATTAAAACTAAATTATTGAATGCATTTGCAATCATCAAACTGAAGAAAGAAGCAAGTTCGTTTCGGAAAAAAAAAATCATTCTTATTATTAATTTACATAACATTGTATACATAAATATTTCAATCGATAAATTTGATGGGTGATTAAAAAAAAAAACTACAAACACTAAAATCGCAAATACACTGCGTCAATTGGTAAATTCACATTGGCTGCAATCACTCAGTCATCCGTGACTCCTCAAGAGTCTTCCGCAGCACCATCATCTCCACCAATAATTTCCTACAAAATCAAATTCATTGTTTGCTTCAAACCGAATTCCCCAAATTCAATACCTGTAAAACTTCGACCAAAGTCTTCGATTCATCCAACATCTCTTTGCACGTTTTGTTCTCCTCCTTCAGGGCTTCGACCTTCTCTTTAAGACTCTCAATCTCCTTGAAACTGTCATCCAGCACCGCCTTCCGCTTCTCCGCCAACAGACGCCAGTAATTCTCGCTGGTCTCCTCCGAGGTTAAATCGTCAGCAGTCACAGAACACTCACCGCCAGCCTGCACACTTCTGTGCGTCAACTTTTTCCTCTTATCACTCTCACTGTAAACAAAACAAGAAAACTCCATTAGCACCCACATTTCCTGTCTCTTATCACCCGAATATCATTAAGTTAAACATATATCTTACATGGGCTTCATACTCCGATCCAACTTGAATCTCTTGGCCACATTCTCTTTGCCATCATCGATGTCTTCGATGTACTTCTTCTTTTGACCCCTGCCTTCCTACAAAAGTACACAGATTAACAAACTACAAACACAAATACTCACACAAAAAGTACTTACACTCTGCTCCTGTGATGCCACTTTGATTATAGCCAATTTATCGGCAGTTTTCATCGCGCAAAAAGTTAAATTACTGCTAGGACGTGATGGAATTAACGCAAATTAATGAAATCGACGGAAGTATTTTCGAAATTGATTAACCTAAAAACTGTTTGTGTACATCTCAAACACGCGCGCTTTATTTATTACTGTCAAATATAGAAATAACAAACAGAATTAGTCCAGCACCTCACCGACAGGTTACGCCACCGACGTAAAATTAATCAACAATTTGCATTAGTTAAATTAACAATTTATTTTTAGATTTAGTGAGTAGTTGTTGCTGTAATACGCGTTCAAAGTTGAAAAATTGAAATGAGAACGTTCGAAAAAGCAGTGTTTTTACATTTCATTGATATACTCGAAAACTATAATAGATATAATTAATCCAAAAGATGCATATGAAAGCTGAATGATTGCGGAATGTAACGAATATTCATATATTACTGTGGTTTTAGCCGTTTGGCTGTAATTCGTGTTCAAATGTTTAAAAAATGCTCGAAAAAGCATGTGTTTCACATTTAATTGTTTACTCGAAAAGTATAATAGATAGTAATGAATTCCAAAAATGCATATGAAAGCTGAATATTTGGGGAATGTAAC